CTCATGTACATAGAAAATAAGTTTCCACTCTTTGTTGTTAGTTTACTATTGATGATTTAGTCAAAACTTTCCATCTCCACATCCACTCTGTTGACTAAATCAGCCACAAATTTTCGGTTCATATTTTACAGTACACAGGAGTTCGTCCATAGTTTCATCATCAAAAATAAGTCCTATGGGGACTTGGCAGATCAGTCAGCATTTAGTAAGTGTGCTTTCTGCTCTTACAGAAGAGACAGTTACCAGCACTTAAATGGCAACTTAGGAGCCCAATTCCCACCAGGTATTTGAAACCCCCTACTGGCCTCCAAAGGCACCAGGCATGCATGTGGCACTCATATATATGTGAAAGTAAACACTAAGAAGATAATAATAAATTAAAAACCTTATTTAAAATGACTGTACCTGTCAGCCAGGAATGGCACCTGCCCTGCGTTCAAGCGAGAGCACCCGAGTTCAATCTATGGTACCCATATGGTGAAAGAAGAGGCCCAAATCCTAAAGGTTGTCCTCTGACCTCCAAGAGCGTGCACAGCGTGTACACACACACACACACACACACACACACACACACACACACTCAGATATACACACAAATAATTAAATAAATATAAAATTAAAAATTAAACATTAGAATCGTTCCCTTCCATTGTTTGTCTCTTACAACCATATTTCCTAACTAAAAGCATGTCATTGTAGCCAGCTTTCCCAGCTCTAAATCCCAAAAACAAAAACAACACTAAACAACCACGATGGAGGAAGCAGTGGAGACTCCTTTACATGTTTCACATGTCACATGAGGCATTTGTGTGTTACACATGTCATATGAGTCAACCCTTTCCCCTTTTACCTCTGGCGCAGAGGCTTTCAAAGACTTACCAGAACACAAGGCCCCTCTACTCTTGTCCATCATCCATTTCCTCTTGTGGTGTCTTCATCTTCCGGGTGCTGTCTGAGGACAAGCTGTGACCTAAGCAACTCTGTATCTGCCCCGCCACCTGTTAGCAGTTTATTGTGCTTATGTTAAAATTCAGCTATTAAAAATGTCAGCATGCATGTGTTTGTTTCCTTTTGCAATGATTGGCATGTTCAGTTATTTATGTTGCCCTGGTTCTTTCCCATGACATATATAATTTTAATCTTACGTACACCAAATTATGCATAGGGATAAAGTTCAGTTCAGAAGACAGCTTTGTCTGATTTCTGCCACACCTCAAACCAGTTCGGACCAAACTGGCTTTTCTGGTCTGCTCTCGGGGCCTGAAGAGAGTACAGTTGAGGCAGGGATCTGAAGTTGCTCGGGGCTTGTTTGGAGAGGCATGTGAATGCTTAGGACTTGGAGGTGAGGGAGCAAGGGCGTCAAACACATAATTGAAGGAAGAGGGTATGCCCGGCAGGAACCAGGAAGAAGAGTTCCATGTTGCCAAATCTTCCCTCACGTTAGGGTGGCCCACAACCAGTCACAAAACCCTTTTGATCACCTCCCCCTGAGGGGGGAGCAGCCTTACCAGGCCACGGAAGATGACAATGCAGCCACTCCTGATGTGATCTGATAGACTAGGATCAGAAGGAAGGAGAAGAGGACCTCCCCTATCATCGGATTTGGGGAGGGGCATGCGTGAAGACAGGGGAGGGAAGGTGGGATTGGGAGGGGAAGAGGGAGGGGTTTAAGAGGGATGCAAAGCGAATAAAGTGTAATTAATAAAAATTGAAAGAAAGAAAAAAACCCTTTCATATGAAATATAGGATTATTATTCATAAAGTGACATACATTCAGATTCAATTAGCTTTTTTTAAGGTAGAGTTTCGATTCATCTATCAAGACATCTCAGTACCAAATTCATTCCTTAGGCATTAACTGAACAGGAGGCCATCAATATCAATGGCACTTCTCTTTACTTCTTGGACCTGCCTTCTCTGTGCGGAAGTTCATCTCAGCTCGGGGTAGACAGGACCAGCAGAAATGTCCACAGCTCCATCGCTTAACATTGCTGCAGTGGCGTCTAGGAGCTGAGCGCCAGCAGCACACACATGTGCATTGGGAAGCGATAATCTACTCAGTGAGAAACAGGGTCTTTCTCTGGAGCCAACCGGGGATGCCCAGGAAGGTGTTGATCAAAAATCAACTCAGGCTGAGAACCTCTGGAATGCATACATTTTAAGACTACCAGGAGGGAATTGTTAGAGGGTATGGTTAAACTTCATGGAAAGAACTTTAATACAATACAGAAAATAAATAAAAAGCTCAGTATTCATCATCCAGCTATTAAAATATGTAAAGCATTTAAAAAAAAACAGGTTTAATTTTCATCACCCATGTTAGACTACCTTCTTCCTATAGTTAGCCATTTCCCTCGTCTACTTTTAACTCATGGGGCATAACTCCATCCCATAGTAGAAATAGGTTTCGTATAATCTCACCTAATGACTTTGGACACAGACGGCTATATTGTGATGGCACTGAGCAGTTGAGCTGTCAAGGTGTCATCTGTCATTCTATCCAGCCCTACAATGCAGTCTAAAGCTGAGCCATCTACCACAAACCTTCACTGGGAATTTAAAAGAAGTATATGGAGTTCTCAGTTTTGAGTGGGAAAATGTTAATATTGATTGGGTACTCCAAGGGGTGGTATCTGCCCAATTTGTTTGCCCATGTGCAAAAAGGATGTTAGCTCTTAATTATTTATCTTACGGCTCAAAGCTGAGAGACTGAGAAAACCAAGATTGTTTAAAAGTGTTTATGTCTCTTAGGCGCACACTCTTCAATTTCATTCATTCGTTAAGCTTTCCGCAAGCTGATAGTTTCTGGGTCAGTTGCAGGGTTGACAGAGGGGGTTATCTCATCTGTGGATTTAGGTGTGGTCTTCACCGCTTGTGTTCTGTAGCATTGTTTGGTATTTATAGCACCTCCCACATGGGTGCTTTCCTGGACTTAATTATCATCTGTCTCTGCCTCCCTTCAAATCTCATTTATAAAAATGTTAACTAAGACCATCCATAATACCTGGGTCCCCAAAGCTCACTCCCCAGCTCCTCTCCTTAAATGGATGTGCTGTCATTTATCATTAAATCTCTTTAGCCAATTTAATTCCCAAGAAAAATGTTAATCTTGAATTCATTTTGAGCTAAGTTTTAATTAAGGTATCCTAAGACATTTGGTGTGATTTACTGTAATCAAAACTGATACCTCCTCTTCGGCCCCCGCCCTCTAATGTTCTAATTTTATCCTCACACCAAAGATCGTGGCTCTGTATGCCAGGACTAGTTCCCCCCCAATACACACTGTCCATCTGACTGTTCCTGCAAATAGCTGCCGTCTCCTTTTCCTTTAGATCCATGGCTGTCATATGCCTGCATAAGTCCCCAACTCATTTCAGGAAATGTCTTTCCCTGTGGCAGCCACATCTGTCTGCCAGAAATACCAACCTCTGGATGTGCCATTTTAATGCCAGTCTCTAGATTTCCTTTTGTCTTCTCTATCTTAGTTGCTGTTATTTCTGTGTCCACCAACACTCCACGTGCCATGAATAATTAAAAATATAATTAGAGGGCCAGGAGGATGGATGGATCAAGTCGGTAAAGGCACTTTCTGCCCAGCCTGGCAGCCTGTATTTTAGCCTAGAACCCTTATGATAGAAAGAGAAAACCAGCTCCTGAAACTTGCTCTCTAACCTACACACACATACTTCAATTAATGCACACCACACATACATACGCTCATGCACATGCGTACACACTCCACCGTTATAAAATAGAATCAGAGTTAGAACATGTGCCACACGCCTCCTCAGTCATGGATGGTGTGGGAGGAACTAGTTTGCATCTTTGGCGACGTTAAACATGAGCCACGTGTTAACCGCCTCGCCGGATCCTGCACTTGAAGTTTCAAGGTAAAATTTCGACAGTCAAATTTCCTCAAACAACGTCGCTGAATCCCCAGAGCACTCTTAGCTTTGGAAACCTGGAACTTGAGGATGATGGGTGGTAGCATAGCACAAGGAGAAGTGACCGAAGAAGAGCCACACGGGCTAACTGGTTAAAGGGACATGCCCTCCGTCCTTTAGAGACAATGTATCCTCTCTGGGTAAAGTGAGGCCATGTTCTTACTCCCTCCCTCCACATACTACCCTCCGAACAATGAAAACAGGATTCCCTGAAAGCTTGTTAGTAGCATCTCCCACCAGGATCATTCCTCCCATTCTTAGTAATTATATATATTTATATATCTAGTATATATTTTGTATATATATTGTATATATTATATAGTATATATCAAGAAGTGGAAGAACCTCATTCACCACAGCAAATCACTATCACTTTAACACGACTTTTTGGAATTAATAATGGTCGTTCTCCTCTCACAGGCGGTAAACGCCCATTCACTGCAAGTGACTTTGAATGTGTGTGTGTGTGTCAGGTCTACAGGCGCTTACTTCTCCTCTGTCGTCTCATCGCCTCTGAAAACAATTCTCTTTCCTTAGAAGAAAACGGTTTTCGTAGTGTGGGCTTTATCAGTCCATCATAAGCCAGTGGGAAGAGGTTAGGAGGCGGGAGGACACTGCAGATGGGGAAACGAGCCAGCAGAAGCTCGGCGGCAATGAAGCAGACTTTGCCCTTTCATTTCGTCCTGGTCTCAGACAACAGTGGTGCATGGTCATGTGTAAAGAATGGGAGGGAAGATGAAGAGTGGATCCTGCATCGAAACATTGGCTTTTATATTAAGCCCCCCCCCCCCCCCGCTTTTATTACATCAGAATAAAGGTAGTCTTCAATACTGAAAAACTGTTCGGAACATGCTCACAAGGGACCAAATGATAATATCGGTTCCTGCAGCGATCTGGTGTCACAACAAAGCACAGAAGCAGGGGACATACTTGCACCACAAATGCCATGGGCAGAGGCTTTGAAATCGGCTCCCCGTGGTTTAGGGGGAACCGCGCAGCACAGTGGTGAGAGGCTGGATCCTAACCAGACTGGTGTTGTGGCTTTTCCCATTCCAGCTGACAGCAGTCGACGCCGATGAAGGCTCCAATGGGGAGATCTCCTACGAAATCCTGGCGGGAGCCCAGGGGGACTTCGTGATCAACAGGACGACGGGGCTGGTGAGCATTGCTCCCGGAGTGGAGCTGATCGTGGGACGGACCTACGCGCTGACAGTACAGGCCTCGGACAACGCCCCGCCTGCAGAGAGAAGGTGACTGCCGCCAGGCCGCGTAGCTCTCGTAGAGAGAAATTGCTATATTCCTATATTATCAATCCTAAGACAGGCTGCTAAAAAAAAAAAAAAAAAAAAAAAAAAAAAAAAAAAAAAAAAAAAAAA